CGGGGCCTAAGCACACTCTGCAGGGGCCACTGTCTTCTCCACGGTGCTGCCTTCGTGCGTGACCTGGCAGCTGAACCTGCCGCCAGCTTTCCACTGGGCGGGGGACAGGCTCAGGTAGCTGCTGGCCGCGTACTTGCCGTTGCTCTGTTTCGAGGCCTGGGTGGTCTCCACGCCCTGGGTGACGGCGCTGCCGTCTGCCTTCCAGGCCACGCTGACGGCGCCCGGGTAGAAGTCACTCATCAGACACACCAGTGTGGCCTTGTTGGCTTCGATCTCCTCAGAGGAGGGCGGGAACAGAGTGACCGAGGGGGCGGCCTTGGGCTGACCTGTGAGGTGGGGAAGGGCAGAGGTCAGAGTCCTGTGTCCACCTGGGGAGCCCCTGACCCCAGGGTGTGAGGAGTCACTCTGGTCACCAAGCCCAGGTCAGGGCACCTGGTGCAGGGCCTGGGGGTGGGGGTCTACATCAGGAGGTAGGTCAGGCTGTTTTCAGAATCTCCTTGTCTGTCCCGGGAACCCCAGAGCCTGGGGCTGCCCGTCCCTGTCCTGAGCCCTCCCTGGGCCTTGGCCTTCCTCCCAGACAGCCGGCCCTCTATGTCCTCTGGCTGCTCCTGCCACCCGGACAGGCCTTCAAGGACTTGTCTGTCACCTGAGCACATGACCTGAGGGTTAGACTCTCCCTTGGGGCAGGTAGGGGACAATGTGACCTGACTCTTCTCTCTGAGGGACTCTGGATCCTTTGCCCTTCAGGCCTGCTATGCCTAGCTCTGAGTCCTGGGGACTTTCTATGGGGTCAGAGCCGGGGCGGGGAGCACAGAGGGAGCCTGTCTGCTGTTCCTGAGTGTCTCTCACTCCACAGGCTGTGCTGGTGTCACCCCCATGGCACCTGGTCACAGCAGCAGAGGTTTCTCACTTTGAACTGTCCTCTGTCTCTGGGACTCGGGGTGGGAGGGCTTGTGTCCCGAGGAGCCCCAGGGACCCACCTTTCCCTCCCCTCCTCCCCTGAGGGACCTTCGCCTGCCCCCTGCACACAGAGCCTCCTCTCCTGCTCCCTCCCGGGGCTTCCCTGAGTCCCAGGCTGGCTCAGAGCTCTGCCCTGTCAGCCCTGAGGCCCTGGCAGCCCCCACCTCCCATGTCTTTCCTGGCCTTGACCCTGAGTCCCACAGCCCAGGGGACCCGGCCCTAAGCCTCAGAACTGTGGTTCCCCAGCCTCGGCCCTGAGGGTTCCGGGTCCTTCTAAGGTCTCCCAGGTGGTCACTCCCTCCGTATGTCCTGTTTCCTCCTCCCCATGTTATTGGGCTAATTGACCCCACAGACAAAGCAGGTCTGACAGGGGCCTGGATGGGGGAGGAGAGAATGGAACAATTCCTAGCCACACAACATATTTCTACAGACAGACCTACAGACAGACAGGGACCCAGACAAAGAGACAGAGAGACAATTCACTCTGACCAAGTCACCAGCTCCAGAACCTGGCTCTGGGTCCGAGGGGCAGGGGTGAGGCGTTCAGGGGACTGAGCCGGCAGGGGCTGTGATCACCCCACGGCTGGGTGATGATATTAGCTTGACCCCAGGTTGACACAAGATAAGACAAAACAGCAAAAACAGCACAAAAGTGCCTAAAACCTTGAGGAGAACGGGGAGGGAGGGGGAAGAAGACACTCACCTAGGACGGTCAGCTTGGTTCCACCGCCGAACACACCACACTGTGACACAGGCTCGCACAAAAACCCTCCCTGAGACCACTACCCCCTGCCACCAGCTGCAGCTGTGAGGGAGCAGGGTCACTGCCCCAGGTGGCATCTGCTCCGCAGGGGGACGACACAGCCCCACCCTCACCCCACAGCTAACGGGACATTTGACATCCTGTGACCAGCAGCAGAATCCCTGATACCAAGATTCCTAAAGGAAGTTGACTTGGCTTTTCCCACGGACCATCTGCCCGGAAGAGAAATGACTTCCTTGGAGGGCGTTTGTGTCCCTAAGGAGTAAATTTTTGTGGAAGGGGACAGCTGGTCTCCCCTCAGCAGATTTGACCAATGTCTATTCCGTGGTGAGACCACTGGGTGACATATGGTGTCCTCTTTCCCCCAGGGAAGGACATATTTTCGTGGAGTGTAGTGTCCCAGGAACCTTCCTATGACCTCGGCCCTGACTGCAGGGGTGTCAGCCCCACCTTCCCTGGGTTGTCCTGTGGTCATGGGCCTGGCCCAGGAGGCCTGGCTGGTCCCTGTGGGAAATGCCAGCGTCATCGTACAGGCTGACCTGGGAGCCTGCCCTTTGTCCCCTCCATCCTGTCTCATGGCAGGAGGTGCAGGTGTGTGGTGGCCATCGTAGACTCATTGCAATGTGACACATGAGCCAGGCTGTGGACTGTGACCGACAATGTCACATCCCACTTAGGGAAGCATGATCAGTGGCTGATCCAGGGGTGGCCCAGGATAGGGTCATCAGGAGGTAGAATATGTTGTCACCCCAGGAAGCAAGAGCCATGGAAGTCCCCTGGGGTCATGAAAGTGGTCCCAGGTGGCACCACAGGACACTTCAGTTGGGCGGAAGTCCATGATTTGTAGCCTGCTTGTCATCACCCATGTGGCCCGATGTCATCGTCATTAAAACGGAGACGGTGGATTCCAACACATCTATTTCACACATGTGTTTAACACATCTAGTTACGTGACCTGTCTCCTTATTTCCAGCTCAGCACCACGGCATCGCCACTCGCTCACCTGCAGGCTGCGGGTCACCTGCTCTCTCTGTGCAGAGTGTTTCTTTCCTAGACAAGAAATGCACCCTGGGTGTCTGGACTGCGCCTGGGACCCTCCCTTCATGACCGGGCTGCCATTCTCAGGACAATGACGTGACCAGAATTGTTGAATCTCCTCATTCCTGCTCATCAGACTCAGCTAATGTCACTGAACACCTGGCGGCCACCATGGGCGTCTTTGCTGGAGGTGGCCGGACTTCTGGGGAAGCAGGTTTGGCACCGTCCAGCCTGAGCCCCATGAGGTCTCAGGGCGGCAGACGCACTCTGCAGGGAAAGCGCAAGCAGACGGGGCGCTGGGTTCCGGCTCGGGGGGCCGAGGCTGCGTCCGGCCCTGGGGCCGTCCCGGGAGCTGCTCTGGGCTCCTGGGGCTGCTGCGCTGGCAGAAAACGCCAGAGTGAGCTGGGAGACTCCCCCAGGCGACACCAGGCCTGACACACATGCACCTGTTGCCGATTAAACCTTGTCGAGCCTCATATGTCAATGGAAAACCGGCAAAATGACACCAGCCCCAGTGCACAAGGGAGTCAACACGCTGTGGCATTGCCGAGGGATTCCATGAGACCTGGATGACTTTTGATATTAAGGAATTACTGACACTTTCTGTCTATGTGTGGCAATAGTTAATTTCTTTTCAGGTCCATATCTTTTCAGGACAGACGTGGAATATTTACAGGTGAAATGCTTTTCAATACGGACTGAGGGAGGTGACATTCTGCGTTGGGGTCAGATATCTGTGAGTCGCTCCCTATGTGGCCGTGATGGGACACTGGGGTCACTATTACTCCGTCCTCTCTTAGTTTTATTTCCACTTTCCCCACAGCACAAACCTGTAGCGCAGTAAAAGGAGGCCGCTGTTGGGGCAGCAGGTAGGGATGGGCGGCCTCTGGCATGAGGCCAGCAGGACTACGGGACTGGCGCTCCCGAGTGTCAGATGTAACGTGTATGAAGTGGGCTGACACAGGTGCTGGACAGGAGAACCCTTCAGCCTCATTGTCACCCGGAGCCTGGGCTATGGGGCAGGGGTGGCCATGACGGGGACCAAGGGGACCACATTCACTGCCCGCTGTGACTTTAGACCTCTCTGGGGTCACGGTCTCCGACACAGGAGAAATGTCACTGGCCCACGTACGGAATGGGCGTTCACTGATTGTCCAGGGAGGCAGGGGCAGGATCAGTCCTTACAGATTGTGTCCTTGGCCTGCTCAGTCACTCAGGTGTCTTCCCTGATGAGCTGATGGCAGAGTCAGGGTGGCTGTGAGCCCCCAGGACACTGAGGGCCTGCAGAGATGGCTGGAACCTCCACATCGCCTGCTGTCAGGGCCCCTGGGTCGAGTGCGTCTGTGACATCAGGCAGCAGGTGCACGTGTGGTGGGGGCGGCTGAGGCGCAGGGAGGGGGGGAGGCAGTGGGGCGGGGGCGGGGGTGCGGGGCAGAGGGTGTCGGGTGCTGAGTCCCCATGGAACCTGACGTTGACTTAGCTCTCTGCCCCCACTGATCTGCCCCAACCTGGTATCACTCGGCCCTCACAACTCCCCAAGTTGCTCCCACTGACCTTCTCAGACAAGCAGTGGGTGCCCACCCTATGCTGGGTCGGTGCCTCTTCTCATATGTTCCACGTCCCCGTGTCCTCCCTCCTCTCATGCAGCCTCCGTAATCCCAGGCTCCAGCCACAAATCGACCACAACCCGGGTCTTTGCAGGCCTGGTGTCAGTGGCTCAGGTTCCCAGGACTGGGATTCCAGCTGCATGCTAGTGGTGACCTGGAGCCTGGCCAGGGCCAACACCCCCCACATCCCACACAGACACCTCCCCCTCACGTGCATCAGCTCACACTGCGTTCCCAAACTGGATGCGTGGAACTGGGATCCTGCAGAGTGTTATGGGTCTTCTGAGTGTGGTCAAGGGGATCCACATGATTTGGGAAAGGCTGGGTTTCATCATATGAAACTATGTCACTACAGCAGGTCTCGTCAGTGTGTGCACATAGCCAATGTACATTGTGCAAGTCTGAGTGACTCCCCTGTGTGTGCACTTTGCACACCATGTAATGACCTTGTGGTGACCGCACAACTACGGACCGTTCAAGGGTGGAACTCTTCTGACCGGTCCCCCGTGGTAAACAGGGAATTTCAGCTTCTTTCCTGCTGGGATGGTGGCCTTGACTCAGGGTGCCTTTCCCTGTGGTCTCTGCATCTAGCCCACAGCTGGGCTCTTGCGTCCCTCTGGTTTCTCCGGATGCCTCTCTCAGGGCTTCGCCCGTCCCTCTCACAGGGTCCTCCCGCCTTCCCAGGACCCCCTGGCCAGGAACAGCCTCCTGCTCTGGATCCGGGCCCACACTGCTGGGCAGAGCTCACCCGGGTCCCTGGTGGCTTCTGGACAGGCGTGGGACCACAGGGAGGTGGTGTCTCATGGAGAGTGGCCCCCGCTCCTGGGCTGTGACCCTTCACCCCACAGAAGCAAACAGACACAGACGGGGCACGGTAGACACTCGGCGGGGCCAGGCCTAGGTCTGTGTTGAGGACAAAGAGAGTGCCTGTGGGAACCTCCTGGTCTGAGCGGGTCCCGGCCCCGGGTTGAAGGGGACAGAGGAGAGTGGGGAGAGGGCTGTCTGGCTGAGGCAGGCCCTGCTGGGTGAAGCCCCAGGGAGGCCGAGAGCGTCTCCCCTGGGCTACGTTCCCCTGGGTGCCAGGGTTCTCCCAAGAGCGCATTGAAATCGAGGGAGAAGCGTCAACTTAAACATGAGAGGAGAAGTAATGAGATGGAGCAGGATTTCTGATTGACAACGAGGATATTTATTAGGGGTTCATCGGGTGCAGGGCAGGGGGGGGATGAGCTGGGAGGGAGGGGAGGCCCCTGCCCTGGGCCCCTGCAGCTCCAGGCCCCGAGGGCGGTGGGGCCGGGGCCTAAGCACACTCTGCAGGGGCCACTGTCTTCTCCACGGTGCTGCCTTCGTGCGTGACCTGGCAGCTGAACCTGCCGCCAGCTTTCCACTGGGCGGGGGACAGGCTCAGGTAGCTGCTGGCCGCGTACTTGCCGTTGCTCTGTTTCGAGGCCTGGGTGGTCTCCACGCCCTGGGTGACGGCGCTGCCGTCTGCCTTCCAGGCCACGCTGACGGCGCCCGGGTAGAAGTCACTCATCAGACACACCAGTGTGGCCTTGTTGGCTTGGAGCTCCTCAGAGGAGGGCGGGAACAGAGTGACCGAGGGGGCGGCCTTGGGCTGACCTGTATGGGCAGGGGAAGGATGTTTCTCCGAGCGATAGTTGGGTGTTTTTCGTCCACCCCTTCTGTAGTCTTGGTGACTATTCACATCGTGGCCGTCTGTATACCCAGGACACACCTTCCCTCCTGTGTCTATCCCCTCTTCCCACTGGTGCCTCCTGGAGAGCCGGCAGCCCCGCCCCCTCCTAGAAGCCATTCCCATGTCATCGCTCAAGGTGACCTGACCACCCACTCCCCGCTGTAGCCTCAGTTTCCCCATGTTCTGGCGCAGGCTGTACTCCCTCCTCCCAGGCTCTGGGGTCTGAGTTTGGAATCTGGCCCTGACCTCCGAATCCCTCAGCCCCAGACCCAGGACCCCCCAGGACTTTATTCTTCCTGTGTCCAGAGCCTCTTCTGCGATCTAGGGGGTCCCCGCCGGGCCAGCAGGACCGCCCTGGCTCCGTGTGGGGAAGCTCCGACCCTGATCCCAGTGCCTGGTGCGGCCTGGAGCCTCCTGTCCCCTCGGGCACCAGGCTCTGGCCCAGCCCGGCCCACTGGGCTCTCCTGGGGAGTGGGCTCCAGCCGGCCAGCCGGGCTCTTCTGAGGCTCCACCGCCTCCCCGTCCCCCAGCCTGACCCCAGCACCCTTCACCCTGGCTGTGTTCTCGGGGCCCCAGGACACGGCTGCTGCAGGACCCCTGGGCACCTCGGATGACTCCTGGCTTTACCGGCAGCCATGGGGCTCTCTGTGCACCATCCACCCCGTCACCTCCTGAGTCTAAGGTGCCCTTTGAGCTTCCTCAGACGGACCATGAGCAGGTGGGACTCCAGGCCCAGGGTGACGGGCTCTGGGGACAGCCGAGCCTCTGCCCCGAGGGGCCCACTCCTTTCTGCAGCCCATCCTGCGAGGGCTGGACTCTGGTCACCTCGCCCAGGCTGACCCGTCTCTCTGTGTCCCGGCTGTCCTCATGGCCCAGCAGAGGCCAGAGAACTGCAGCCTAGACCCGGGGCGCTCTCTGCATCCTCCACTTGTCTCCCCCAGCGTGACCCCTGCACCTGTGTCCCTGGCCCCTGGTGCCTCCTCAGCCTGCACGGGCATCCAGCCCTCAGTCAGACCCTGGGGTCTTGGGGACTGTCTCCAATGCCGCCGCAGTGGCCCTCGTCTGAACTGGCCTCTGCCGCCCACTCGGGCACCTGCGCCGGGAGCGGAAGGAGCCCCTCCCTGGCCAGCCCAGCCGGCGGGACAGGGCCCCGGCAACGTTGAACCCCATGGTGGCGGCTCCTGCTGTTGGGCCCTCCCTGCTGGTTACTCAGAGACCAACCCGCCCCCCAGACCCCATGGAGAAAGGTGAGGGTCAGCCCTGAAGGCTGGGGAGGGGAGAGGGAAGGAGCCCGGGAGGGAGAAAACAGACTTTCCAGAGACAGCAGAGGAGGGGACAGGCTGGGAAGGTTGTGAGAGCCACTTACCTAGGATGGTGAGCTGGGTCCCGCGGCCGAAGATATACCACAGTGACTGAGGCTCAGACCAAAACCCGCGGGGCCAGCACCTGGCGCCCGCCCCCCGGGGGCTGGGCTGGAGCAGGAACCTGCTGGGCGTGACGGGCACAGGGCGGGGCTGTGACAAGGCCCAGGGGAGGTGTGTGACCCTGGGAGTGTCCCTGTGCCTGTCGCCTGCCAGAGGCAGTTGCTGCCCTTGGCCTTGGCGTCACCCCAGGGAGTGTCCCCCTTTGAGGCTGTCAGTGCAGATGGCAATGCTAGGCACGGCAGGTGCTCAGTGAGTCCCCAGTGACGCGTCCTCTCAGGCAGCTGTGCAGTGTGGCAGAGGGCGTGCTCGGCGGCTCAGACCTGCCCGGCCTCTCCTGGCCTCATTGCAAGGGCCTCTGAGTCTTCCTCTCCCACACGTCCCTGAGGTCCAGCCAGGCCCAGGCCGGCTTCTTCCCTGGACGGAGGTCACCGGGTCCCTCCTGACTCAAGTGGAGCATCCTCTCTTTTCATTTGTACCCAGAGACAACGTCAGTCCCAGCTTGTTCATGAAACATTCTCTGATCTCTCACACCACTCTTTCCATCCATCCATCCATTTGTCTACCCATCTTTTTATTTATTCAACTGTCTGTGTATCCATCTGTCAGACAGCCAGACAGCCAGCCATCAACCTGTCCATCCATCCAACAATGACTACCAAGCACCCACCTGTGCCAGGCACTGTTATGCATGTTGGCACTTGGCAGGGTCCATCTCCCTGGTTCTCAATCCCGTTTCTCCCTGACCAATAAATCCTTTGTCCCAGACAAGTCTGCTTCCTCCCCAGTCCCCTGTGTCTCTGCAAGAGGTCCCTCTTTCTCATCATTTTCCCCTCCTTGGCTTCTGACATCCCTCACTGTCCTCCTTGGCTTTCCTTTCCCAGGCCCATCCTGGGGCCTCCTCTCCTGTCCTCTGCCTCCAACCTTCACTGTGCCCTCCCACACCTGCCCAGGGCTCTCAGATCCCTACTTCCAGCTCACCTGTCTTCTTGCCTCCAGATTCACACACACTCTGCCTCCTCAACCGGCCTCTGCTGGACTGCCCCACAGCCACCTCCAACTCAACAGGCCCCAACTCAACTCCTCATCTCCCTGCAAACTCACTCCCCCACACAGTTTTCATTTCAGCAATTTCTCTGCAAGCCAGAGGCCTGGAGTCATCCCAGAATGCTTTCCCCTCTGTGCCCTAGACATCCTACCACAACACAAGATGCCATTAAAATACTTGCGAGAAAAGGACAAAACACCCAAGCCACACTCTAGAGTTGGGGATGGCAAGAATCCTCAAGTTTTGCCAAATCTGTTTTTTGTCTCCCAAGATAATTTCTTTACATTGGAAGATACCCATTGCAATGAGGCCAGCAATTTTCCACCTTAGCAACAAGTTGTATTTAACACATGCACATAAGATTTTCATAACAGAATTTAATATAATATATAGTAACAAATTCAATACTTGTTTCTGATTTAAAGAAAGCAAACACCTAGCCTTTTATTAAGCTATTGAAGGAAACTTCCTCAACTTGATTAAGACACCTCCTCAACCTTACAGTCACCTTCATACTTAAAGGTGAAACATTTAAGAGTCAGTAACAAGGCAAAGTTGCCTACTTTTACTTTTATTTAATATATTTATTCTACAGATTCTAGCCCATGAAATGAGTTAAAGGGAAAAAAGGAGGTGTGAGTATTAGGAAAAAGGAGAAAATTGTTCTTTGCAAATGATGTGATAGTCGACAAAAACAAAAACAAGACAACCACCACTGAGAATAATCAGCTGATGAACTATTAGAACTAATACGAGAGTTAAAGTGGCTGGATACAAGAGCAACATACAAAAGTCAATAGGTTTCTCTGCTACCTAAGCAATAACCATTTAGAATATGAAATTGGGGGATAATTTATAACTTCAATAAAATTATATTTAAAAACCTTAGAAAAAACACCTTAGGAATAAACAACATAAAATGTGCAATATTTGCATCAATAAAATATAAAACCACTTGACTAACGGATGTAATAGAAAAGTGAGTGAACATCACGTTCCTGGACAAAAATGCTGAGCATTGTAAAGATATCAGTTCTTCTCACATTAATCACATATCCCATCAAATTACAAACACAACACCAAATGAATAATTTTTGAAAATTAGGAAACTTATTCTGAGTACAACAGTAAGAATGACGGCAAATAGATGTGAATATTTTGGGAAACAGTGATAACGATGGATTCTTCCCCTCCCAGATATCAAAACATACCATAAAGCTCAAATAATTAAAACAAGGTAGATGCAGGAATAAATCAATAGATCCAGAGAACCACAGAGAGAATGTGAAATAAACCAGTAATATAGTATTTGATAACAGGTACATTGGTATTCAACAAATGTGCAACGATTGGCCTTCCATTTGGGAAATAAGGTTCCATTTTCATGTACACAAAAATAAATTACAGATGAAGTAAAAAAAAAAAAAAGGAAAACCCAACAGAACACCAAACCAATGAAAGTACCAGGATAAAATAGAAAAATGATTTTATAACCTTGAAATAAAGAGGACCTTCCTACACATGGCATGGATCACAGAAACCATAAAGAAAAGGTTAAACCAATCAGACGTGTAAAAATTAACAACCTCTTAAATGTGAAAGGCTGCATAAACAAAAGACTCCTAAAACAGACCAGGAACAATATTCACAACATGTATGCTAAGCAAAAGGATTAATATCCCAAATATATTAAGAGTTTCTATAGATGTATAATGTAAGAAGATACAAGCAACTGAATGGAAAAGCAGGCAACACGACGACCAGGTAATTCACCAAAGAATAAAAATATGAAAGGTAATACATTTCACCAATGATCAAATTGACAATAAAACAATAAACACATTCTATTTTTTGTTCATCAGATGGGCAAAATAAGGACAGACCAGCAACATCCCATTATTGGCAAGGATAGGAGAGGGCTCTGTCAGTCACTGTAGTGAGTGCTTGCAGGCTTTTGGAAGCATAATCGGGCACTGCCAAGAACATCTCAAAAGCACATTCTCTTACCCAGAAATTCCACTTTTAGGCATCTATCCAGTGGGGATACATAATGCACTTTTTATACACACACATGCACACAAACACAGGAATGTCCACTGCAGCATCTCTTGGAATTTATATATTTTTTTCATGGAAACAACGTAACTGTCCATTAATAGGTTCATGATTAAATAAATTCTAGGTCATCCAAATTTTCTTATAAAGCTAATATCAGAACATGGTGTACCCATATGAACCAATATAGAAAATGTCAGTAACAGATTGTTTAAAAAGCTGGTAATATGTAGAGTAAGACTCTATTTTTGGAAAATAAAATCCCAACACCAACTCTGTGTGTGTGTGTGTGTGTGTGTGTGTGTGTGTGTGTGTGAATGTTTTCGGGGACATATACACATAGGAAAAGGTCTAGGAGTATATAAACCATGGCCAGCTCTGGGGAATAAACTGTGGGTTAAGACAGTCTTCCCCCAAAGTGGTAAGAAGAAGCACTTGCTTTTCACTTTATATAATCCTGTGCTTAATTTTTTTAAATAAAAAGCACATGTTACTGGTACATTAAAAATTATTATAGAAAATAAAAATGAAATATCTCTTCTCATGAACATTTTTATAAGACCAGAAAAATTATAAAGTTAAAATGATAAAGCTAAAATTAAAATCAGGTGAAACCGCACCAGCCAGAGACACACCATTGAAATTGTTCTAGGCTTTGGGACAGGCATTTGAAACCGCACATGTACTTTAAAAGCACAGTTGGAAGCATTCTGTTTATTAGCATCTTATCCTTGTAAAAATCGATTTTTCCATATTTTAGAGATGCTTCTGAAACAGAATTCTGAAGGTTTGTGTGAGGTTCCTTAGGACAGGTGTGCAGTACTGTAATTCCTCACACCCTATTTGCACGTCATTTCCAGGCTTCTCCCCTCATTAACAGCGTTCAGCTAAGGATCCTCGTTTGTCAACCTTTGGTTACAGCTTTCATCATAGCCTCTCCCGTGCCCCCACCAGGATAAATTCCTAGAAGTGGAATCACACAATTTAGATAAAGTCACTTTCTTTCATGGCTTGCTGCCTATTGCTGAAACGTCTGCACATCTTAAAGGCCTGTAGACAGCCCGTGAGAGCGCCCATTTCCCAGCACCGGGCACCGTCTCTTCACCTCCACTCGCCCATGTCACCGGGACCTTGGCCGAGTGTCCTCGCCACCCCTCGCCACCCGCCGCTCCCCACCTCCCCAGCCCGATCACAGCCCGGCCAATGTTTCCAAAACACGAACCAGCTCTGACGGTCCCCTACTTAGTCCGCCCAGGACTTCCCGGACCGGACCGGGGACAAAAGCCAGCAATCCCCACCCCCGCCCCGCCGGCTTTGCGGGCGCCCCGACACCAGCCAGCGCCCCCAGATCTTCGAGACCAGCTCGGCATCCCGCCCGCACAGGGAGGGACGCTGCCTCCTTTGTGGCTCCTGAAATGGGCCGCGGGTCTGTCCCCGAGACTGCACAGTCGCCTTGGTTCCGGCCCGCCCGCTCTGCCAGCCGGGCCTGGCCCCAGCAAACCCGGGGACGGAGTCCCGGAGTGGACGCCTCGGGGAGACCAAGCTACGCCCTGTGCCCTGCAGCCCTGCACCCCGCCCCTTCTCTTGGACCGTTTGTTTATGACATTCAGGACCTGCTGATGTGATCACAGCATTCTTTTACAGTTCTTGGACTGTCTATGCCCATGTGCTGCGTGACCTTGGGCAGCTGGCCTCATCTCTCTGACCCTTTATCCCTGTCTGTAAAATGAGGACAACAGCAGGCAATGGCTTCTGGGGCCACTGAGAGGAAGGTTCTGCCTCTAAAATGATTAGCACCTGATGGGTGTGAATGAGCCAGTGACAATAGACTGTTGTCACGGATTGTCATAAATGGACCCGGAGGCTCCGTGCTTTGTCTG